AAGTATTTTTGAAAAAATATAACATTATTATACACGACCTAGGGAGGGGAGCATAGGTTCACGTGCCCCAGGAACCCCCTTCTAGATACGACACTGTATATATTCTAATTTACACCAAAAACTAAGGGAAACTTGTTTTATACAAACTGACATCTTTTTTCAGTTATATCATCATTCTAGCAATCGATTAGCCAGATACCACATAGTGAATGGTCAAAGAGCAGTACTTGGAGAGGTGCTTTTGATCCGTTCAGATTAGTGATACATGTACGCCTCAATCTTCCACTATGTAGTTGGAACTGTAGTAGTGCCAGTACTCATATATAATCTACCTTTTTATTAATTTTGGATCATATCATCTATCATTTTAGTCCTCATCCAAAAGAAAGGCTATTGGAGCAAAACTTTTTGCACCGCTAGTGCCCCGTTGCATACTTCAACAAGCAGAAAATGATAACAGAAGAACCCCTGAATACTCCAGTCTAGATTCCTTTGCCAGAAATTATAACAAGAAATGCTTTCAGTGTTCATTTCTTACCAATATAATCTTCGCATCAAAAGCTAGTAAAAGGCAATTGCCTGGAGAGACCTTAGTATAGGTCAAGGAGATTTAGCACATACCTGGTTTACAGTTACTTGGCTCTTTCCAGCAGCCGGCAGCTCCTGAAATTTACGCTTCTGTGCAGGGCGCTTGTCCTTCTCAGAACCTATACTTGTCTGTGAAGTGATGCTTGCTCCTGTTGTTGCCGGAGCAACTGTGGCAGTGACTGGAGAAGTAGAATGCCTAAGAGCCAAAGCAACTTGCTGCAGAGGAGTGGCTTGTGGATATATACCATCATAACCAATATAGCTTGTTCTACTTGTAACTAATTGATGAGGATAGCAACCGGTGGGAGGTTGAGATGGCACAGGATTCAGTGAACCAACAGATTGAGGCACTGTACCCTGAGAAACAACATTAGTCACACCTGCAGCTGCAGTCACGGGAACTGCTGCTGCTGTTGTGGAGCTCAGAATCTGTGCAGCTACATTGGCTGCAGGTATGTTATTGACTTCTGATTCACTTCCAGAACCCTGAATGCTGGCTAATGGTTGTGGTGGAGGTGGAACAGCACCATAAACCTTACAAGAAGAGACTCTGCACAATGACAGTCACAAAAATGAGGATTCGGGTATGTCTAACAACAGAAGAAACAGAATCATACCAAACAACAACCCATATAAACCTCTTCTGAACAAAATGCTGCAATCACATTTTATACACTCAAAGAAACATGCATACCTAGAAGCACCACACTCTGCACATATAGTATCCAAAAGATTTTCTGCCAAAAGCTTTGCACGCTCAAGACTTGCACTGTTATTGCTTGATATGAGTAAATGCAGAGGTTGATGCAAATCTGCACATAAAAAGAAAACATTCAAGAGGAATCTTTGTTATAACCAAGAAATCCCCCAGGGTGCACAGTTGATAACTGATCTTGTCATGCTAACTACGGAGCATGGGGAAAAATTGCATCAAAAATCAACAAATAGGCACCTTCACCCTGTTCTCCATCTGAATATCCCATACCACGCCCTCGTAGCAAGACAGTCGCTCCAGTTTCATTTATAATGTGATTTATATACTGATCCTGCACTTACAAAAGCCAACCACCAGCACAGAAGAAAAACTCTCCAAATGGACGGAGATGTCAGAGAAAGCTCAGAACATTAGAATCTCTTGGCTTTCTATAAATTAGAATAAATTTAAGAAGAGTACATCAAGCATCAATGCATGCCAAACAGGGTGGGAAACAGATTACACTACTGGAAAGAAACAATCATATAATTACTCAGACCAGAATCTGATCAATGAAGAGAAACAATAATTAATTGATTCCAACATCAGATCAATAACAGAGAAGTAACGACTGGTTGTACATTCCCGATATCTGAACTTGCAAGCAACTCATAACAAATAGAGAAAAGAAATTGAAAAGGCAAATGGATAAAAAATCATACAATAAAAGATTCCGCCATTTTATGTCGCTAACAATGCGAGAGATTATCCGTTGAAAATTTCCCAAAACAGTTAACCCTCGACCATACCACCATAACTCAACAAACCAGGGGAAAAAGGGCAAAGTTTGATAGAGGGAGCTCACATTTGGTCCACGAATGCGCGCAGCAATATTTGCTGATGGATCAGCATCAAAGCCCAGGTAGACACAGGTGCTAAGCAGATGATTGACCTGATGGTAAAAGAGTTAGATGTTACAGTAATTTTCTGGGTTCAGCTCCTATCAAACCTCACCAGATACTACTTACCTTCAATCCATTGTTAACAGTACCTTGCTTCAGCATTTCCTCCACTATAGCAGCAGCACGATCAACTGCTTTGATCCTCTCCAGTGTTGTTTCTAGCTGAACCAACCATAGTACATGTAAATACACCGTAACAATAACTTTACACAGTAAAGTGAGGTCAAAACATTAAGAACTTGAAAGATTACAGAGATAAGTCCCACTTCAATGAATGTCAATATTTCTTCATAATGTGACCCAAGATAAGTTCAACTTCCCTATGAGGAAATTTTTATCGAATATATCATCACCAAAAAGTTAATGAGAGCCCCCTTTTACATTTCTCTACTCAACTTTTCTTTTTTTAATTTGTTCCTAAGAAAGCAAAAGTTATTAGTGAACTTGTAACTCTAAACTTAGCCAAGTCAAACGTGAGCATTAAATTTGAGATGGATAGACAAAAAATGTAGACATTAAAAAACAAAAAATTAGAAAGGTTCAGAAATGTGCCACAGCTTTTGCTTTAAAAGAGAAAAGATTTTCCAAGATTCTACCGTCATATGTAGTAATTCGTATATATTGGATAAATCAGGAAAAAAACTAGCAGTAAATGAACTCTAAGCTAGAGAATAGAACAAAAGAAATATTGGTGGTAACCACTTCAATGATTGGAAAAACACAGAAACGAAACTAAGAGAAACAAGTTAACAATAGGCAAATGTGTTGAGTAATTAAAATGCTCACAAATGATTCATCTATGCAATTTGGTGACGGACAAACTTTATTAGCAATCTTCCTGAATCAAATGGTGCATCATAAAAGCAAACAACTAAAATTGCTTACATGTGCCCCAGCAGAAATATGAAGGTAGAGGGGTTTTTCACCATCAGATGGTGCATTTGGAGGCCTGTATCTACCCCTGCAATAGCCAGGTTAAACAGGTATTATACTACAAATAAAAGCTAAACAATGAGCAATATAAGACTTCATGATGTACTACCTAGTTATAACCACAGCACCCGAGCTCTTCTGAATCTGCAGAAACAATGATAATTAATCAATAAATAAGGTGCATAACCTTAATATAATCAGTATTTGCTTCTTGACTCCTCTTTAGTATTATAGAACCCATTAACAATATTCACCTCTTCCTGGGTTTGGCGCTTTGTGAGCCTGTAGCGAACAGCCGGATCAGCGTCATTAATGACAATTTCTCTTGCTATCAACTCATCCTGAATTTTCGGCTGCAATAGTTCATGATTAGAAAATCAGAAGTGACCCAAACAAAAAAGGAAGCTGATGTTAAACAACAGTATGTAGAAGGATAATGGAAAAATGGCATAAAGCGCATGGCAGATTCAATATAAACTCAAAGGACGCATAACAAACACATTAACTGTTGATTTGCAGTAGGACAACCGCAGGAAAGTGAACCAGAAAACGTGTTGATTTTGATGACAATACAAGGAGGTAGATAATGGGAAAAGGCTACTGACAACAGAAATAATGTCCGCCCCCAAAGAAAAAAAAAAGAGAAGCACATGTTGGCTGATATGTGGATCATGCATTTGGATAATAACTCATAGAGCTAGGTAACAACCCTCAAGTAATAGGGGAAACCTTCCAAGCTAGAAAAGAATAAGCAGCATCTTCTCCGATAATCTTACTTGAATTAAGTTTTGGGCAACAATGAGAGGATGCTGCTGCACTGTAGTAGCACCAATAGCGGTAAGAGGATTCATAAAAGCAGCACCTAAGACTGGAGCTACACCGGGTAATGGGACACCAGCAAGAGATCCCATGTTTGCCACTGGAAAAATCCCAGATACTGCAACTCCATCTGGAACAAATGTCTCCGCAGGCTGATCCCACTTTCTCCTCTTCCTGGAAGATGTTGAAAAGTTAAACCACCAGAAGAGCTTACTTAGAACTTCTTATTAGACTATGAAGTGTTGCCGACATGATTGAACATTTTTTTTTCTTATACTAACCAATCAATCAAATAATTTCATCGGTATGAGCTTCGCATCTAGTTTGCGTCACATGCCGGTACCAAGCGCACAAAAAGAGAGGATGGTTACTGTAGGTACACCAACACAAAACCAATCAAATTTATGATATGAATCTCAACTATGACTCAATCCTAAAGTAGCTGGGTCCAGTTATGTGAATCTCTATATCAATTCAGCTCTATTTGGCCCCAGTACATAATCTTTTATGCTTATTTTTTTCTGCTTCTGCAGCATAATGCAAACAACCCCACTAATATTTATTGTGTTAAACCAGATTCTCTAACAAAAACAAAAACTACTACTACCCCTCAGCCCCAAACAAGTTGGGGTCGACTATAGGGATTCTCACTGAACACGTTACTAATTTAAATCATCTAATGCCAATATTATGTTAATAAAAATAAAAAAGTATTAGAAATTCTGTACAGTTTCTAAATGTATAAATCTCTGAAAGGTTAAACCACTACTAGCGAGTATAAGATCTTCCGTGTGCAAATACTACTGCCATTACCTCAATACTAGTTGTTCCTATAAAGTTGCAATTGTATATACAAATTTAGCTGTCCAATTTTTTCAGCTTAGCATCAGACTAAAAGGACATGACAATCTCATGAAGCCAATAGTACATTAAAAGGAATAAACCGTGGAGAAGTAGACACAATCATGTGAAATTTCAATCAGCTAGGCCAAATCCCAAGCTAGTGAAGGTATACACGATCAATCAAAAACATGTTCAGGAGATAGGGAACAAAATTTAATCAATACGTGAAGTTTCAATTCTGACCTAAGTCAATGATATTAAGGGAAACTTAGATCTCAATTGAAGTGGATTGCCTTCGATAAATAAAATTAAAGATGAAAATTTTATGCACCTTTGCTTCGTTGATGAGGAATTGGAGTCTAAGGATTCGGAAGATGAAACTCTAGGGCAATTATCCTCCGTCATCGCTTAAGAAATTTCTAGTTCGTTTGATTGCAATGCTTCTTTTGATTCAACGGAGCGGAAGAATGATTGAATTTCACAAAAACAAGGATTTCAGACGCATCTAATTGTAAGAATTAGTGGCGTCGAGACTCCACATTGCATTTGGATTTCGGTGCGAACGGCCAAATGCTGAGGCGCTGCTTGCCAGGGATGTGAATCTCGTGACATGTACGTGCTAAGAATTAAACGGTCTAATAAATATAACTTTATGCAATACAGAAATAACAAAGCTGGAATAGCTCAGTTGGTTAGAGCGTGTGGCTGTTAACCACAAGGTCGGAGGTTCAAGCCCTCCTTCTAGCGTTTCAAATCATCTTTTTTTTCTTTTCGGAATACCACTTGGAGTAGGATTTTTATAGTATAAGGATAAGGAATATACGTGATTAATTTTAAAATGCATTGTATATAGCCATATTACACGAGTGATTGAAGTAACCTTTTCGTTAATAAATATGGAATTGATTTCTCTCATCTTTAAGTTTTGTTCTTTCGAGCAATTAATTTTAATTGCTTTAGAAAAGATATGAGCAATCGACAACAATTCTTTTTTCTTTTGTATTAGAAACTTTCATTTTGTTCATTTGGAATATCTATTTTCTTTCTTACCACAAAAGTTCGAATATGAGCAAATTTAATGCTCCAAATAACAAGCAAAAGATTAACAAAAGTCCTTCTTTGACAATTTGTGAGATTAGATGTGTAATTAAGTTGTTAAAGTTCATATATAGTAAGTGGGGCCTCTTGGCCACATGATCCATTTTCAAACTTGATTTGGCCAAGTTTTAATTATTGTAGGATTGACTTTCATGCTTAATTAGTGCTTAAGTAGGATTATAAAGTGAAGGGGGAAAATTCAGTCTTTATCTCTAATGTTTCACTTATTACACTTTGTAAGCCTAATATTTTCATATTTAAAATAAAAAAATCCCCAACCCTTCCCGTCGTTTCTGCCGTCCCAATCCCCATTCCCACAGCTGAATCCTCCATTGCGGCTTGCTTTTCTTGTATTCTCACACATAGGTCGTCTCCCTTCTTCTCCATTCCTCTCAAAGCCTCATTATTTTGATATATCGTTTAAGGAGAGGAAATCGAAAAATTGGAGATTTTTGGATCTGGCGAATTTGGGAATGAAATTGGTGGTACAACTGTTCACTATCACCAAGAAGACAAGTTCGAACAATTCCTAAATTATAAATATTAAGATTCTTATGTCTAACTAATTAACTAACAACTGAAAATAGTAAATTAACAACTAAAGATACAAGATTAAGGAGGTCTAGAGTTATGATTTCCCCAATAGTCGGAATCCTTCCCGCTACGTCTCCTATAATTTCGCCTAATTATTCGCTACTGATCGTGAGCACTTTAGGTGTCATAATTCTCTCCCGAGCAACTACTATAATTTACTAGATATATTCTCTCGAACTACGCTAGCTGGCATTATCTTACCGCTTACTATGACCACGTCAAGGCTTTGTTATTCTTAAACCCACCTTTAAACCTGCCGTATTGATTCCTCATATATGTTAGGAGTGACGTTGTTCAATAACTACCTAAATATGTATCCTTTCCCAAGCAATACATAATAAATAGTCACAGTCAATTGATGGCCATTCAATCAACAGAAATAAGCATGTAGTTAAACAAGTAAAGAAATTCAAAGGCTAAATTATATTCAAACTTAACAAGAATTCATCTTCCAAAAGGTTCCATCAAAATCCTAAATGATAAATTAGCTACTCATATTAGTGTATGAAAATACAACACTAAAATTCATAACCAACAATAGAAAACAGGAAGAAGAAAGGAAAAACTCGTGATTGAATCTTCATCCTTGCTCCTAGTGTATTCTTGGCTCCAAAGATGTGTAACACTAAAGTAGTGTCTCCTCCTCCAACGTTATGTAAAAAGTATATTTAGAGTGTATTTATATGACCTAGGTAGGGTGGAGGTTCATCCAATACAATCCAAAATCGGATAGGAGAACTGGAGGGCGCGTCAACTTTCATGCAGCGCGCGACCACAGATGAGCTCCCACCGCTTTTAGTTTTGTGTTCGCGAAGTGATTCGCGCCTTTGCCATACTTCATTGTTTTGCATCGCTTCTGTCTCATCTGGCGCGTCTGCCCTTGCGCGACGCACGGGCATAGACGAGCTCCCAATTTTGCTCCCTTACTTCTGTTTTGCGATAATTCTTCTTTTACTCTACTTTCATCCGAACTCGTTCCTACACATAAAAATACATAATGAGCATATTTCACTTTAAAAATTATGTAACTTCCGCGACTCACACAAGAATTAATATGCAAATATACACAAAAATATGTACTTTTCATCATTTATCACCACCCCACCCTTAAACTCTTGCTCGTCCTCGAGCAACTTAAAATTAAGCGCATAGGCAAGAAATACCTTTCAAAACATACTCAAGCATCACACCAATGACAATGGTTTATATCAACGCTTAGAACCCATCATATGCACTCTTCATAAATTTTTCCATTTTTAGACCAATGCCAAGACTATTTAAAATTATTGTATGATTCTTCTAACATCCTAGCCTCAAAAATTGACTCCACTACATTCCTCTTTGTGACTCGCTTCTTGTGCAAACTAAAGATACGAGTTTCTTACCAATCCATTGTAAAGCATGTGCCCTCACCAACAAAACAAAGAGAGTAATCAGTTCGCACACTCAAATATGAATTCAAGTATAATTTAAGGACTCACAGAATGAAAGAATTCACTCACTCTCGCAAAGAAACTCACGTTCCCCCAAAGCTCATACCATAGGCTTGCCCGTAATGTAAGTCTCTACTAATTTAAGCTCGCAAAGTCTAGGATCAATTAGGTCTTCATGAGTTGTAATGTAGGCTAAGGGACGGGTAGGATAGATATGGATAATAGTGACTAACCCTCCTAAGCACTTTTAATACAATACACTTTAATTTTTAAGCACATTCTTTTCATGATCACTCAACATATCGCTATGACACCATAAATAACGTAGCCCATTGACTTTAAGCACATCTACATAAGCACTAGCACATATCAAAGTGAATTGGAGGGATTTTCCTTTTTTTTTTTGTTCAAAATCTTTTCAACACCCTTCATAAATTGGTATTTCCAACTAGTAGCTCTCTCCATTCACACATGCACCTTTTGGCCTTACTATGATTCCACTAAAAAATTACCCAATCTCTTTTCCTTCACTTTTAGCGACTTAAGTACTTTCGGAGGTAAAGGTTCAACAAGATTTAATTAAGAATAAAAGGGATTCGTCTTGTAATGTGGGTACCAAAGAAAAGGTTTACATGCTCAAACAGGCTAACAATGGATAATTTTATCACTGGTCGGCAAGTAGCTCAGAGGCCAATCAAAGAAACGCCTATATCATTTTCTAGACTCGCAAAGCTTACTTATTTCGCTTCAACTCATACACAGGTCAAGTTCTAGACTAGCAAGGGACGACACATAGTACAACCAAATCTCACCTCACACAATGCACATGACTTACTCAGGACGGCTCAGACCCCACTCTCAAGTTAAAGCAACTAGCACAGTCATAATATAATTCAATCATATAGGAGGTACATAATAGGAGTCAAAAGACGAGCCCAAGTGTCAGAATAAGTCGCATATACTCTCAAGGCATATAGTCACAAGACTCAAGAAGAAAGTACTCAGCACAAATGTTCCAGCCCCGACATAAAACATGTCAAAAAGCATAGATACTCAAGCTCTTCCCATTCCATTATCAGTTCAAAAATAAAAAATAATGGACTTTTTTTTTCTATTTTTCTTTGGACTTTAAACCCTCAAAAAAACTGTCTAGGAGGTCCATCATCGGGAAAAGTCCAAAACTTTTTGCATACAAGAAAAAAATTGCTACCCGGTTCAAAGAGTCATCCCTTGAAAAAGAACCGTGGCCATAAAAAAAACCAAGAGGGATTATTTCTACCTAATTTTTTTTATTTATTTGATTTTTGATTTTTTTTCAACTCACATAAAATAATACAACTAAAATAGCATAGAAAATCACCCAAACAGTCTCTTCACCCCACACTTAAAATTATGTATTGTCCTCAATGCACACCCATAAATACAAGAGGGTAAAAGAAACTCCCTGATAGGTCAAAGGCCGAAGTATTAGCAACTCATGGGGTACTCAGACTTCCCCCCAGACTTGGTTCTTTGTGAGGGCACCCCATACTTAGTTCTAACCATCTCACTTGCTTTTGCTTTCTTCCAATGGCTTTGCTTCCCATGCTCCTAGAAAATAAAAAATGACACTACAAAAATAATATAATAAAATAATAAAAATAAAAGAATTAAAAATAAAAGAAAGCAGTAAAGCTGGGTTACCTTCCAATAAGCGCTTGATTTAACGTCGTGGCATGACGCGAATCACTTTTTGTCTCCACCTTGAGCATATGAATTGAACCCCAAGTTTTTCTTCAAGTTTATGATTATGCTCATGGGACAGTTTAAATTCTTGCGAGCCAAAAATTAAATAAATTCTCATGCACTTTTTGGCTCTCCGCCGAGGAGTGTCACATTGCCTAGATGACCTTGAAAATTTTAAAATATAAGGCTCATCTACCTCTTCCTTGGACTCCTTTTTATACTCGTAAAGATCCATTCTTATTTCACTGTCCGAACATAATGTAGAGAAGTGTTTGGAATGAGGTCCAACGCGCTCAAATACATGAACTTCAAGATTTTCAACATCCTTAAAACCAATCACACTAGAGTCAACTAAATTTGTATACTCAATGTCCTTGGTTGGCTCTAGTATTACTTCTTCAACATCGGCATCCTCAAATTCTAGCTGGTTAGAGTGTTGGTATTCTACTTTGGACCCCTCCATTGGCACCTCAATTTCCATCTCTAATACACACTGCTCATGGCTACTATCCATAATATTAACATGTTGAGCATTAAAAGCTTCAATTAGTTGACTCACTTGAGCTTCCAAGTTGCGAATAGTTGTATCTTGCCTTTGTACCCGCAGTTGTGTCTCATCATTCTTTTCCATAATGTACCTTAGCATATCCTTGATCTCTTTTAGGTTGTCATCCCCGGGTTCTTTGTTCCTGTTAACCTCACAAGAAAAAGTAGAACCATTATAGTGAGGGGTTGG